GTCTGGCATTTAGCAGCAGGAAGGCGATGACCAAAATCATTTCACTGTAGGGTCGAGCGGATCGATCTCCAAATGGTGTGGCATCACTGCGCGGGAAGTATCACCTTGCCCCTGCCAAAATCAGCGGTAAAATGGTTACAGCAGGGTGAGGAGCCATTACCTCCAGCAGCTCTCTTAGCAAGAAGTTGATAAAAGCTCTTCCTCTTATCATTCACCGATCTTTTCTACCCCTCCTTCAGTGCTTTTATCTCATTTGGTATTTTTTATGATTGTCGAAGCAGCCAGCAGACAACTCGACTGAGAAACGGCACATGGCAGCAAGCTGCCTTAAACCAGAACAGATTCAGATTCCTCTGTGTTTGGGATTTCCTACGTGCGTACCCGTTCCCTCCGCACCTGGAAGGGACCTACAGCAGCCGGAGGAGGCACAAACCCACCGCTATTGCTTTAGCACAACTGACACCCAGTGCCTACCAACCCCCTGCTCGGCTGGGGTTGAAGGTTGCAGTAACAGATGCTGTCACATCCAAGATGTAAAAAGGATACTTTTATTTTTTTTTTCCCCCCTCTAGACATCTCAAATATCCACACTGGAAACTGCAGAAGGGCTTTGGCTTCTGGTACTCGGAAGGTAAAATACCAGGAAGGGAACGGCAGCAAAAGACCTACAAGAACTGAGTATCGCATTTCAGGAGGACGTTTCGTCTCCAGCAAAGCTCTCTGAATTAGCAATTTTGTACTCAATCTTGCAGCTCAAGGCCTCTAAAATAAAAGCTCTGGGCAGCCCCTGTGAATTTAAAGCACCTATTATCTGAGTACTTCACGTCCTGCACTGTTTAGATCCTCAGAAGCTGCATTAGCAAATGAAGAATGCTATTTACTTTTTTTTGTTGTTATTTTGGCCCCACTACTGTAACAAAGGCATTGTAAATCCAATTGAAAGCTGCTTGCCTTATTAAGTCTTGCCATGCCATATTTACTTTATCTCTCCCTTCCAGATGCCAGGTAGACAGAGGAGGATGGAAGGAGTTCAGATCAGCAGGGGGATAAAGAAATTTCAACAACTGGAGATAGTAGAGGGAAGTAAAAGGAAATCATTTTCAAGTCACTGTCACTGCAAAGGAGCGAGCAAATCAACAGCGATGTAACTAAGAGCCCAAGGAATTAAATCCCCCTAAAAGCGAGCACGGGCAGCCTTCCCAGCCCCGCTGCCAGTGAGGGGCACCGGGACTTCTCCAGGTAGGAGAAGGCAAAACGACAAGGATTTGGCTTCACAGAGACAACCGTGGTGTTGAGAGAGAAAGCCGCCTCTTGCCATTTCTGCCCTGGCACGCTGTGTGCCGAACCCCCTTCTCCAGGGATGCCCTGGGACACGGCTTCCATGCAAAGCATCTCGGCATCCGCTGACCCTCCAACCACGCTCTACGACCCCATCAAAGCGGGACCTTGCGCCACGCTGAACGCAGCGTCAGACCAAACCTGGGGGACCCAAGGCAAGAGGGATGCTGGGGAGAAGGTGGCTGTTCACGCTGCTGCCAACACACGGTCCCTTTAAGCTTCTGAACACTGAATGGCCCTCCCTCGGGAGGGGATGACGGCTGCAGTCCCCCGCTGCAGCACCGCCCTGTGCTACCAACTCTGCTACGCGCCTGCCTACAACCCAAGGGTAGGGATGAAACCAGTTTTACATCTTGTTTGACTTTGCAACTGCAAACCCTTAGCAGACCGTTTAAAACCAGGTTGCTAAACAAACACTCCTGGACGAGAGAGGGGTTGCAGCACGTCTGTGCTTTAAAGATCGCTGCGTATAGATGCAGCTTCAGGCTATAGATTTTCGTGAAAATATGACTTCATCCTTCATAAAAACTCTTCTCTCCATTGCAAAGAAAATACAGATGACTGTACGATAATTCCTCTTTTCTTCCCTTTCAACAAGCAGTAAGTTATAAGTTCTGGCCTTCCAAATATCACCGCTGGCATTCAAATTAGCCCCCGCTGGAACTAAAGCAGCTGCTCGTCTCGGAGATTTCATTTCAGGCTCTTTGCAAACTCAAGCTAACATTAATTAACCGGTACACCAAACTCAGATGTCAGTTTTGCTGCATAACCGATCCCAAATGCTTCCCCGAATTCCCTGCGGCAGACAACTGCGAAGAAGAGATCCTCGTAGCATGAGGCAACACAGTACGTCAAGCGGGGAAAGCTCTGTGCCAAAACCGTGACACCGTAAAGGCTGGAAAATAAGGGCCATTAGTAGAGAAGAAAGAGGCTGGAGGATGAAGATGCTCCACACAAGAAGGGTGTGGATCCCTTTCTCCTGCCTCCCTCAGCTACCGATTCACAGGATGCTCTGAAATCAGCTGCTTTGCTCCGGGTTCATTTCGCCCAGGGCCATTCACCTCGAGCTTCTGCCCCTTTCCTCCTCCCGGGAGCCTTCTTAAAATACATTCGGAATGGCTTCTGTGTGCTACAAAACATCTCTAACAGGGCTGGACTGAATTTTAAAGGAGTTAATTTCAGTAATGCAATAACTCACCGTCCTGTCATATTTCATATTATTCAATGAGCATTAATTCAGTCTCCACTGAGCATCAGTAATGAATTTTGCAAACCTCACAGACCGAACTTGTATTGCCTGAAAATATTGCATTGCTACAGCGAAAAGAACAAGAGGACAAAACAGAATAAGCCCTGCGATGTTTTTATATGCTTCTTGCTTCCTTTAAGATCATCTATTAATAAGCCTGAAGGACACACAAATGTAAGTATTCCCATTTGTTGTTTATTTGCCAGGAGGTCCCGCAATGGTTTCACAGTCAGGCAGAGACTGCCAGACCATAATGCAAGGATGCCCGGGAACACGGGGTGGCACGAGAACACCCACACTGTACAACCGGAGCCGTAAAACGGGAACGTGTAAATCAGAAGCAGCGAGACTGACTAATTGGAAACATTGCCCGGCAGAAAAATTAGCATTTCATATTTATAACGCAAGTGCCAATAAACAAAGAGACCTGTCAGCTATTTATTTACTTTCTGACAGTCCAATCATGTGGCACATTCCCAAATGACAGCGAGACAATAGCAAACCGCTCGTTTTTCAAGAAAGGGCCACACAGCACACGGCATTTCAGCCGCTGACAGCTCACGTGGCCCTTTTATTTAGGGCTCAGTCGCAATTTCACTCCCGCGAATGGGGAATTACTCTGCCCAAGTCAGACTTAGTCCAGGGAAGAAGAGATGCAAAGCAAGAGAATTACATAAACCAGCTCCACGTCAAGACGACTCTCCAAACCTGACGGAGGGGTTTGTACCCACATCCCAGGTCCCCGGGTTACCCGCAACCCCTGTGGGCCAGCGGGGATGAGGAGGTTATTCAAAGGTAGCACTCATAAGCCTTCCACAACTACAAGGCAGGTATTCCACGTGAGGAACTGCAAACCCAACGCAGGTGGCTTTGGAGAACCCTTTCCCAAAGCCTACCTCTTTGCTAAGGGGTTTTGTCAAGGTGCCACGCGTCTCCTGACCGTGCTACCGCTGCATTTCTGGCTGAGCTACAGCACTGCAGGACTCCGCTGACTCACACTCCATCCAGTACAAGATGAAATGTTCGATTCGTACAAAATTCTGATTCTCTTCTCTAAATGCCCAAGGCCCTCTCCCGACGCCCTGCAAGGAGCACGAAACCCAGTCCAGCAGAAGGCGCTGGGGTGGCACTGAAGCTACACAGAGGACCTCTCACCGGCAGAGCCCTCTACTCCACACACTCGCCAGCTCAAGGGCGAGACAAGGGACGAAGTATCAGACATTAGTGCTCTCTGGGGTCCTCTCACCCCACTTCTATTCGCAGTGATGGTCATGTGTTCCTCTGCTGCCTCTCTAAACTCAAAGGGCAGCGCTTCGCCCTTCATGGGCACCAATTTACCTCTTCCACCCCAAAAATGAACACTAATTAATACTAATAAATCACATTTTAAAGGCACCAGTGTACTTCGCAAAGCCTATCTCACCAAGATTAAGCTCTTGTGTCACTTGGGTAGTTTGGAGAACTGCCCTAGGCCAACATAATTTTTACCCTAAATATTAATGATGTTAAATAATTTCTCAGTCCCTCCAAAGGAACAGATTATTCCACAAGCATGGGGAGCCAGAGACCACGGGGCATTTCCTCTTCAGTTTTCTGTATTTCTGTTTGAGGATAGCACAAAGTGTTAAACTAAATCTAAGCAGCAAGCGAAAGATGAGAAAACAGCTACGCACAGAGAGATCTTGGACCTCCGGCCTGAGGCAGGCTATTTACATGGCTCAGAGCTGTCCCTCTGAGGAGGCCCCTAACCTTGCCTCTCCGACAAAGTCATGCGAAGAACGGTGCTAAGAGGTAGCAGGATGCTGGTGGAAAGAGTCAACCTGACTGTCTGTTACCCTGCAATGCTTTCCTCCCTTCCATGCCATGTACTAAATCCTCCTGTATTTACAATCCTCCAGGTTACAGTGCTGAGGATCAGGTTGGCCAGGGCCACAGCACCGATGTTTGAACCTCTGAGCAACAGCATAGTGCGTTTCACAGAATCCCAGACTGGTGGGGGCAGGAAGGAACCTCTGGAGCTCCCCCAGTGCCACCCCCTGCCAGAGCAGGGGCACCTCCAGCAGTGGCACAGGACGGCGTCCAGGCGGGTTTGGGATGGCTCCAGAGGGGGAGACTCCCCCACCTCTCTGGGCAGCCTGTGCCACTGCTCTGCCGCCCTCACAGCAGAGAAGGCCCTCCTCAGGTGGAGATGGAACTGCCCATGGTCAAGTTTGTGCCCGTTCCCTCTTGTCCTGTCACTGGGCACCACTGGAAACAGACTGTTCCCATCCCCCGGCACCCTCCCTTGGAGGATTGATCAGCGTTGATGAGATCCCCCTCAGTCTTCTCTTCTCCAGACTGAACAGCCCCACGTCCCTCAGTCTTCCCTCAGCAGAGAGATGCTCCAGTCCCCTCATCATCTCCATAGCCCTTTGCTGGACCCTCTCCAGCAGTTCCCTGTCCTTCTTGACCCGGGGAGCCCCGAACTGGACACAATGCTCCAGATGTGGCCTCATCGGGGCAGAGTAGAGGGGGAGGATGACTTCCCTCCACCTGCTGGCCATGCTCTTCTTGAAGAGTGTTTGGCATGGACTAGGTGACAGCTGACAGAGCAACCGCAACAACATGCATGAAGACACAGCCACACCAGTGCTGCTGCCCACAGGCTCCGAGGTATCATGTCCGCCGGCAGATTGTACCTGCCCGTTTATTCCTAGACATCCTCTTTCAGGCAGATGTCTCAAAGTTCTCTGCAGCACACCGACCTCCTGCTGAGTTAAAGCCATCCAGAGCTCAGCACCTCTGTGCCGGGCTGGTTCCCTGCCACGTGCACAGCTCTCCCTCTCCCTTAGACCCCCAGCTGGATGGCAGGCAGGCAAGTATCCTCAGGGACGGCACAGCTGCAAGGCTTGAAAACAGAGCATATGAAAAAAGCATCATCTTTGCTCCGGTCCAGGGTGAGGCAGGGAAGCGGCTGCCAGATGGGAAAGAGAAAAGCTCTCTGGATCTATTTGCTCCTCTAGCGCTTTCCATAATAATTAAACCCCTACCGTTGAGCAGAGAGATGGTTAAAACATCTTAACGCCCCTCTCCCTGCCATTTTCCTGCTGTTCCATGTGCATCTTCCCTCACGAACAGTCGAGCTGCTCAAGGCGAGAAAGCACAGCCTGTCAGTTGCTGCTGCGGTGGCTACCAGCAATGCCAAGATGTGACTAGCCGCAGACTGGCTGACCACAGCCCGGAGCAGAGCTTGCAGCAGGGTGTGGGCTATCACCAGCGTGCAAGAAAAACGACGCCTTTAGAGATGTAATGCTGTATCGCTACTGGGTCTAACACGATCTACATTACAGTGACTCCAGTTTTCAAAGGTGGTGGTCCTCACTGATCAGGGTCAACTTCAGGTCCTCCAAATAACAGGTTGCTTTTAAACAGACTTTTGTATTTATAATTAGTGGAGCAAACCCATGGTTATGCATCAACAGACAGATACCAGAAACGCCTTGAGAGGCCACCCCACCACAGACTCTCATCCCTGAAGCCAACAGACATCACGTTAAACCTTCCAGTGCTGAAGGATTAAAAAAAAAAAAAAGTCTGAAACAAGTAAGAGCCTCCAGCGTATGAGAGCATAATCTTCACCCTGGGAAAAGAGTTTCCCCCAGTTCTAGAGCCAGCACAACCCCACCAAAACCAGGACAGTTCCTCAAAACCCACCCTAGATGCCCTGCTCTGAATCCAGACTGCATGTTCACCTTCCACTGAAGGCACCAACTTCTTTGGCCCTCCAGTCTCACCTTGTTCTCCTCAGGGGTGAAAAGGATGCGGAAAGTTGAAGGCATGCCAGGTGCTACCTTACGGCACACATCAGTGGGGTTGATCAACTTGAAATACGGCGAGCTCTCCAAGACGACCTTTACCAGCCGAGGAACCTGCAGGAAAGACACAAAACTATAATTTTGTCACTCGTGGAAACACAAGGAGAAGAGACCTGGCCATACCCTGGTGACATTCTTCCTTAACCACCTTCCCAAAGCACTTTTAGCTCTTGAGGTACAGAACAAAACCAAACAAGGGTGGACTGGAATTCATTCTGCCTGGGCAATATAGCTCTAGGCCAGAGGCAGTAGGGCAATGCCCTGCTGTGAAGGAATCGTCAAGCAGGTAAGACACCAGCAGTGGGGAGATATAATACCCCAATCAAGTCATCCCCATATTCAACAAGCCCAGAGAACCTGATTGCTTCTGCCACGACACATCCCCACCATCCTGCAGAGAGAGGGAACGTATTCCTGAGAGGGGGAATGTATTATCTGAAGGCAAAACAGGATTTGTCATACTGCGGGCAAGGAATAAATTAACTTCTAAAACATACTGGGTTCGAGCGGAGCAGTCTGCAGGCAGACCAGCAAGAGGAGACCACAGACATTGTGGCTGTACGGGGAATAAAAGCAAGGAGAAGAAGAGCAAAAGGAGAAAAATGGGGGGGAAAAGAGACAACCCCAGAAACAAGGAGATGGCTAAGAAAATTTAAAGGGGGCTGTAGAGAAGCAAGGAAGAAGCACAATACTCTATAAGGAAAGGCTGACGCAGAAGACAAGAGCAGTCAACTTACCGAAATAAAGGAAAGCCAGACGACCCCCCAGGCTGTGCCTATCAATTACGGGCTTCAACGGCATTTTCTGCCTTGAGATACATGACCAGCACTGACTCACAGCGTGGTTTCATTATTAAAAGCCAATCTCGGCTCTCTGGAGGCTCTTACTGCCTGGTGATCGTAGCCAGGCAGCTGCCAGTGCGGGGCAAGCCAGGTTTCTCAGTATTCCTCCCCACACCCAGGAGTCTCCGCAGGCACCTTGCTCCAAGTTTCCACCCTCTGGGACACCACAAGCACAGAGCCGGCAAACAGGCATCTTCCAGCACACAGGTATCAACCCCTGGGCACCAAAATCTCACTTCAAAGTCTAAACCGGGTGATTTTGACTGACAGGCAGCTTCACCGATAAACAACGAACCCACACAAGGCTTGAGGAAAAAAAATGGAGCTTCATTCTGCGCCGCCCACCCGAGCCTGATAACCCATGGCCAAGGCAGTCCTGAACTCTCCAAAAGACACTTCGTTCCCAGCAATGCCCCGGGGCGGCCCATTCCAGCAGCCAATTTCCACGCTGCAGACAAACACTTATGGCCACCAAGTCCCCTCGGGAGATGAGCACATGTGGCTAAAACCTTCAGCAAAAGCCACCCAGAACATCTCTGAAGGTGGTGAGGAGCAGCCTGAAGCCAGAAAAGCAATTTTACAATATGCAGGTAAGAGCAGTAAGTATATAGCAAAGCATTTCCACATTTGAATGATTACAGAGTCTCTATTTGGAATATACTTTGCCATTAGCTGGATTTTTATGGAGAAGACAACCTGAGTCAACGGGGTTCAGAGGAATCTGGGAAACTGGTGAGAAAACTTTGAGACTGAGCACATTGCTTTTCTCCAGGACATTACCAAAAAGCCAACAAAATTAGAATATAACAACCTCTCTTGGGATTATCATCTCTATCTTTGTGTACTTAAACATGCCAAGGAGTTTCCTTAGAGCTGATTTTACTTTTACACCAGCGCTGCCCCATGGCTGAGATCTTAGTAGCTTCAAAACTAATTCATTTTGGAAAAAAATAAACAGTTCACACATTGCCTCCCCTTTACAGGGCACGCAAATCCCAAGGTGCAGCTGTACAAGTTTATTATTTTTCACCAGGAATGGCAGAAATGTTGATGCAGATGTTCTTTTCCACTTGAAGAAGCATGAATAGAGCAAATTAACTGTTTGCCTGTTGGCTGGTACTTGGCAAAGACAAACATTCTGAAGTGCCGCATGGATAATGGAGCAGCTGAAGCCAAAAAGACTTTGTGGGAATGAAGCAGAGCCATAGGAAGAGAGAAACTGAGGCACATTTTAATCAGGAAAGAGGACACCTGCAGCAAAGAGTGCCCAGAATCAGTGTGGACCACACGAATGGTATCCCTTGGGCATCCACGCTCCATCTTTCCAACATCCCCAAGCTAAACACCAGACCAGGAATGGCACAGCACTCTCCAGGACTGAGGGACCACATCTGCATCCTTCCTTGGCAAAGGGTCTTCCATTTTCAACCACATCCCTGTCAAAACCTCTTATCTCAGAACACGCTTTGACTTCTCTTGCCCTTCCTCCAGCTGCGATATGCCCTGAACGGCTTTTTTTGTCCACCTGTTTCCCAATGGGCAGATTTGGAGAGGGGGTTAATTCCCCTGCTCTCGTGTACACAGCCATCGTCCCATCCTGTCCTCCTCTCACATATACATCTTACCCTTCACTATCTTTAATTACACCTTTCTTTTTCTGACCTTTCTCTGCTTCCAGTACACTTACTGTTACGTGTCAAGAGAAAGCCTTGCGTGTGCAATGTTCTCTCCCAGAGCACTTTCTAACTCATCTCTTTTCCTCTCTCCTGTCTTTTCCCACCAGCTTGCTCTTGGCACACGCCTCATTCGAGCAAATGTTTCCCCTGCTGAAATTCAAAAGGTCTCAATTTTCCCCTTTACAGCGGAACAAAAATTGCTGACATTTTTCAACTTTTCCCTTCGACTTTCTTGGGAAATCTCAAAGCGCTCACCATTTTTTCAAGTGAAGGTGGAGACCTTCGAGAGCATGTTACTCTGGATGCACTGTGGTTCTCCGTAGGAAAAGCAGAAAGGCAAATTGTCTAAGAAAAACCTAAGCAGAACTGAATTAAGCTTAGCAGGAGCCTAAAGTGGCACCTAAACGCCTCCCACTGCTTCTACTAAATCAGTCTGTTTCCACTGCTGTTTCCAAACACCTTTCCTGGAGTGCTAATGCCACTAATTATAACTTATTCCAGTGTAAAGTGAAGACTCAACCTCTGTGCTTTGACAGTGAGCTGCAGAGAGGCAGCAAAACAGGCTGTGAGAGGCAGAGATGTCCTGCCAGAAAGCAAGATCAACCAAGGAACCACCAGGACATGGTGCACACTCGAGGTAAGGCACGAGAGCAGGGAAGAATTGTACAGCCCTCAACATTCGCATCAACTCAGGGCTTTCCAGTGGACGGATGCTGACTAGACAAGCTGCTTTAGGCCCTGGTGAGGCCACATCTGGAGCATTGTGTCCAGTTCGGGGCTCCCCAGTTCAAGAAGGACAGGGAACTGCTGGAGAGGGTCCAGCAAAGGGCTACGGAGATGATGAGGGGACTGGAGCATCTCTCTGGTGAGGAAAGGCTGAGGGACTTGGGGCTGTTCAGTCTGGAGGAGAGAAGACTGAGGGGGATCTTATCAATACTTATAAATCCTTAAAGGAAGGGTGCCAGGTAGATGAGTACAGTCTTTTGTCAGTGGTGCCCAGTGACAGGACAAGAGGGAACGGGCAGAGACATGACCATAGGCAGTTCCATCTCCACCTGAGGAGGGCCTTCTCTGCTGTGAGGGCGGCAGAGCAGTGGCACAGGCTGCCCAGAGAGGTGGGGGAGTCTCCCCCTCTGGAGCCATTCCAAACTCGCCTGGACGCCGTCCGTTGCCACTGCTGGAGGTGCCCCTGCTCTGGCAGGGGGTGGCACTGGGGGAGCTCCAGAGGGCCCTTCCCACCCCCACCAGTCTGGGATTCTGTGAGATGCCACCAATGTATGGCCAAAACTAGGGGGAGAATCCCCAGCACGGGAAGACTTCCACTGTCTTGCAAAATAAAGGTTGTGAGATGGTTTGTTCTGGATGTACTGTGCTGCAGCAGATAACTTGCTATGCTGAATAGCACGTGAGTTACACTGCCCTCCTCTTCCAGCAGTCTTAAACCTCCGCATCCCAGCACTCACCTTGTCGCTGTTCCTCAGGATCAGCGGCACTTCGTAGACCTCGCAGGGGACATAGCTCTGAAATACCACCTCTGATGGGAAAGGCTGAAACAAGCACTGTTCCAGGTCAAGCGCTGAGAACTGGAGATACAAAACAGAGCAGCGAGAGGTTCAGATTCATGAATGGGAACCGTACATTGATCTCTGGTGAAGCACAGTTTCTTGGTGTCTGCCCAGCTCACACTAGAGAAACCGTGGCTCACCCATCTGTGTTCCGAGCTGACCAAAAGTTTCTGGAACACGTTGAGCAGGCTCAAGCTAAGAAGCTGTTTTGGTAGGTGTTTCTCCAGTTTTCCTTCTCCAAAAATGCAAGGCAGCGCTTACCTCCAGCAGAGTCCTCTCCTAACGTAGTCACACAGCTCCAGAACACTTACTGACAGAGCCGTGAGCACCCATAGAGCAAATGAAGCCCAAGAATTTACATGAGACTCCATGGGAAACAATTTCAGGATGATCTTTACTCTGAGACAGAAAGACCGAGTCCCACACATCCCCAAATAGTTTGTTTTTTTTTTCCGATATGGAGCCTAGAAACCAGTAAGAAGAGAACAGCACCAGAGGAGATAAGGCTAAAAAGGAAGTAACACAGTAAAGACAAATGAGGTGAATTCTGGATGGTGATAAGGTTCAGCTCTTTTCTCAGCAAGACCAGGCAACTTGAGTAAGACGGCACTTGGTATCTCCTTTTCCCCATGAGCTTTAAATGGATGCTTTATTGTATTCTATTATTGCTGTTTTATTTAACACCGCTGCAGAAGCACATCTGAAAAGATGCACGAACAGCAAATGCTTACGGAGCAGAGGCAGCACGACTTTGAGAAAATTCCTCCCTGCTTTGGTCTCCCCCTCTTCCACCTGCACTGTGCCCGCTCGAAAGCCACATCCTCCTCACCCACGGGAGTCACAGTCCGGCTGAAGCTAGTAGCTGCAGCGCACTGCCAGTTATTTGTGCGCTCGCCTGATGCGTTCCCGACCTCCTGTGCTGTCTCGGGCAATCCTTAACTAATTTGTTACAGGTCTCTTGCTGGCAATTTTCCGCTCAACGGCTTGCCTCAGTAATCTGCCCATTTGGACTGTGTGTTATATACCGAGCAGTCCTGTAAGAAAAGCAGCTTTAAACATACATCGCAGCAAACATCGATCCAGATAAAGCACATAGGGAACTGCTGGAGCGAGTCCAGCGAAGGGCAACCAAAATGATTGAGGGATTGGAGCATCTCCCTTATGAGGAAAGGCTGAGAGAGCTGGGATTTTTTAGCCTGGAGAAGAGAAAGCTGAGGGGAAACCTTATTATTACTTACAAATATCTAAAGGGTGGGTTGAAGGAGGATGGAGCCACACTCTTCTCAGTGGTTCCCAGTGACAGGACGAGGGGCAATGGGCACAAGTTGGAACACAGGAAGTTCCGTTCCAACACACAGAAAAACTTCTTTACGGTTGGGGTGGCAGCACTGACACAGGCTGCCCAGGGAGGGGGTGGAGTCCCCTTCTCTGGAGATTTTCAAAACCCGCCTGGATGCAGTCCTGAGGGATGTGCTCTGGGCAGTCCTGCTCTGGCAGGGGAGTGGGACTAGATGATCTCTAGAGGTCCCTTCCAACTCTGAAAATTCTGTGATTCTGTGATCCACTCCCCTCTGCCCAGGGCGATTCTGCTGTGCATCCGGCAGCCTGCAAAACCTAACACCCTGCAAGGGTCCTGCGCCTCGTTCCAACCCAAAGCATTAATGTAAGTGGTTTTGTTAAATCTTGAGTAATTACCACGGGGCCTGCAGCCTTCAAAGGCCAATGCAGCCTCCATTGAGGGAGTCATGACCCCAAGCGTTTGACAGCCGCTACCCCAAAACAAGAGGCGGCGAGTA